CTAAAAGGCACAACATGCTCATCCTTTATCGCAATGTGTTTTTGAATAAGACTCGTAAAAAAGTTCCTTCATACACCTGCAAGATGGCGTCGTGATGGGCAGGATGCATCTCCTCTAAGAGGAGAGGAGTTAGTTTTTTGGCATAGCCCGAAGTTTAGCCCACTTATTTAAAGATAAAGCGAACGCCGAAGTAGCCGTCCGACGTCGACTGATACCATAAACAAAGTTTTACTTTTGACACAGATTGGCAGCATTATCGGCACTGGAAATCACAGAAAACTAAATACACCTTTCGTATGATTGGTTCCTTGTTTGCCTTCATATGCCTAAGTATCTGTAGCGTCCTGAGCATTCTCACCGGGTGGAAGAAGGCAGTAAGTGAAGCTGAATACATGTATTCAAAGAGAAGAAAGCGACTGGACCTGATTATGACCTGAAGGCCAGCTCACAAATACAACGGCCAGAAAAATCACAAAGTGACAAGTGTCAAGTGGTCAAAAGAACAGCACAAAGGCTCCAAATACCAATAAATCGAAACAAAATGTTGTGCTGGAACCTTGACATTCGTGTCATTTGTAAGACATAAAATCATGCCAAAAAATTTTCGAAATGCATGCAGATTACAAGGTCTGCAACGAAACTAGACATTATCGCATAAGTATAAGGTAGGACAGCTCAAGCATACGCTGTAGCTTCCCGAGCCTTCCCACCCGGTAGAAAAAGGCAGCAAGCGAGGTCGGAGACATGTATTTTGAAGACGACAAGGGGAACGGTCCTGAGCATGACCCAAAGGCCAGCCCACGACTACAAGGGTCAAACAAATCTCAAGGTGACTGCCATACGTCAGGCAGCCACATAAATAAGGCATTGCACTGCCCCTCTCTTCTTTTGAGCGATATCCTCTGTGCTCCACTTGATACACCTTCCGTGTCAGCCATGACACCATATTCGGTACTACATGAAAGCACCCACGAGTCATCCGCACCAGTCGACAGACAGCATGAGACTGAGGAACCGTACCTTGTCTCCTTGGCAGCTTCAACTGCATCTGGAGTTACGTTCAGCCTGACAACCATATTCTGGACCGCATACACCTGTTGACCATCAATTGCCTCCAGAAACAGACGGCGAAAATCTGGACTACAACAGATGTGTAATAGGAGAAACGGGGTCAGATGCTGTTCCGTAAATAAGGAGAATCGTAGTGTCATTTTCGACACGACACTTTTGCAGAAGGTTCACGGCGGTGTCGCCTCAGTTGTTAATAGCTTGCCTGCGGAACACGGGAAGAATTCGGGAATTCTCCGTCACCAAGGCAAATG